CGAAAGAAATCTTATCCGCCTCTGAATGTTGTTTTTTTTTTTTCATCATCATGTCCACAGTCATGTGGCTGTTTGTCACTGTTATGAATCATTCTTATATATCCGTTTCAGAGTTACCGTTTTTTCACATACTCGTCCGGTTACACTTGAAAATACAAACTGAATTGTATGCTTTTACGTAAATTACAACAAGGCGAGAACATCAGCGTAACCATACACTAAAAACAGTTTTTGCTATTACCAGTGTTAATTTGTAGCTGGGAGGAGCTTCCGTAAGCGGCTATCTGACCTTTACACCACTTTTAAAGTGGCTGTATTCCACTTGCATAACTATGCTGCATATGAGATTCATTCTTGTAAGTGGCCAGATCCAGTTAAGGACACCTTTTTCTCGTCCCGAGGGCACCCTCGTACGAGAGCTTCCACTGTATTACAATTTTAGGATTTCTCTTACATTTTAACAAATTTTAACAGTCGAACCTACGTGCGACCACCCAACAAAGTGACCACTTCCCAATAAGCGATCACTTATTCAAAACATGCACCAAATATATTATCAAGTCAAGCGCTTGTAGTTGGAACCTCCTGTAAACGAACACATCCACATCCAGTAAGCGACCGCGACCACTCAGTTTACGATGACAGTCTGATTGAGAATTTTCCATGATGCGATGGTCTGATCTCTGCGTTCCCTGTATGTCCTAAGCTACTCGGAGTATGAGAGGAATTTTAGAAACAAATTAGATTTATCTATAGTATATTGTAACTTAAAAATTGCATGCAGTACATTCACTCCAAAAAAGTAGATGTGTCCGCACTTTTCCTCGTTAAAGACCTCCTGCAGTTCGACTCTCGTAAAACCCAAATTTTCCTTGGGCAACCCCATGGGCATTATTTACTGGGTGTCTTCCGACCACGCACGGGCCGAAACATCAAATGTCTGTAGCTTAATTGTTGCCTCCGTCCATAATTCAACATCTGCCAGCCTCAGCACGGCACACGGCTTGGCACTAAACTGGTTTTGGTGCCCAAGAGTACGCAAAAAGGCCCTTCCGAGATCGATGTCTAGGACGAGAAAATTGACCTTACCTGGGTAGGGTGAGAAATTTGAAATCGAAGTATTACAGTTGAAGTATCTCTCGGAGGGAATGTGGGAAGGGTGTTAAACATATGGAAACGGTTGTTTGAGAAAAATATCTAACTCAATGTGAAAGTGTGGTGTATTTTGAATTCTACTTGGGAACATTAGTGCCACAGTTAGGCTTTATAAGACCCCCAAAAGACCGTGCGAGATAAAAAAAAATTCACTGTTTATGACAGTCAAATCTGGTGCCAGCAGGGTAGGGCATTTATACGCAATTTGGACACTCCCCGGGGAGAAGGGACTCCAGTATGAAAAAAAAAAAAAAAATCACGCTCACGCTTTATTTGTCTCTTTGAACTGGTCTGCACTAACATCCGGCTTCACTTCGCTGCTATTTCACGTGCAACTAAAATAGAAAAAACAGTTCTTTCCAAAACACGAAGACAAAACGACTTCTATCGCCGAGTTTGAGAAGACATGGGATCATTTATAATCATGGTCTGAATAATTTCGTAGAAAATATTCTACAGCGCTGTCTTTAATTCATCTTATTAATAAAATTGCAACTGCTATTGACAGAAGCGAATATACAGTTGGCATATTCTTAGACTTATCAAAAGCATTTGATACTTTAGACCATCAAATACTCTTGTCTAAGCTTGAGCATTATGGGATTCATGGGCTAGCACTTAGCTGGTTGAAAAGCTATTTGTCAAATCGCGTGCAGTTCGTCCAGTACAAAGAGACTTGTTCTATTAGGCTGACTCTGAGCTGTGGAGTCCCTCAAGGTTCTATATTAGGACCATTATTGTTTGTTTTGTATATCAATGACCTCCCTTGTGCTACTCGTCTTGCTGAAACTATGCTTTTTGCAGATGATACTAGTGTGTTTTATTCTAATCCCGATTTAAATTGTGCTATTTCTGCCGTAAATAATGATTTATCTCAAATTGATCTTTTTATGAAAGCAAATAAGCTCTCTGTTAACATAACGAAAACTAATTATATCATTTTTGCAGCAAGGCAAAAACCAGTCGGCTTCCCAATAAATCCTGTCTTGTACGATGAGGTTTTATTAAAACAAGTAAAGGTAGTTAAATTTTTAGGGGTTTTTATCGACGAGCATCTAACGTGGAAGCCGCAGATTACTTATATATGTAAGAAAATTTCAAAATCTATTGGCGTCATGTTTAGGTCTCGTTTCTTTCTTTCTGAAACAACAAAAAAGTCTCTTTATTATACCTTAATTTATCCTTATTTAACATATTGTACCACAGTTTGGTCCTCCACTTATGTAACAAACCTTAATAGAATTTTTCTTCTACAAAAGCGAGCAGTACGAATTATTACGAATGCAGATTTTCGCGCGCACTCTGAACCATTATTTTTCCGTTTAAAGATTTTGGACATATACAACATTAATTCATTCTATACTGCACAATTTATGTTTTCATATTATCATCAATTACTGCCACCGCTTTTTTCGAACCTTTTTGTTACTAGTAGCAATATTCATAATTATAATACTAGAAGTTCCTCGCATTTCCGTTCTCATGCCTGCCGAACTAACACCAAACAATTTTCTATTTTGTTCCAAGGCCCTAAAATTTGGAATTCTTTACCAAACTCAGTCACTTCGATTTTTACATTGCAATCGTTTAAAACGAAAGTTTTTGATTTTCTACTATATCGATAATGCGTCTTGTACTGTCCGTTGTTGTGTGTTGTTATAGTTCTATTGCTTAATATTATTGTAACGAGGGGGCCTCCTCGTACAAGCCTTGTGGTTTTCTGAGGTCCCCTCGCCACATCTTTGTATAATGTAATGCTTGTGTAATCTTTATTGTGGGAAAATAATAAATAAATAAATAAATAAATAAAGTTGCCAATAGATTTGGAATTCTAAATTATTTATCAGCATACAATAACAATAAAATAATCTCAGAGAATGTCGGAAAGTCATTTTGTTCACTGAACTCTGGCTCCTGGCTCCTGGTTCCTGACTCCCGATACGATCTTTCCGTATGGTGGCAACCGCTGCTTAAAAATGCGGGCTCCATTTAATGTCAAAGATGTCGGACGTTTGCAACGTGTGAATTGAGCTACAACAGTGGCAGAAATAATTCTTTCAATGGGTTAAGAATCGGCTTTCTACATTTCGTATTGGTTTGTCCTAAAACAACTTGATTTGGATTTTGGTGCGTAAACTGATGGCTAAGGAATTTTAGTCGTACAGCGAGTCACGACGCTGAACTACGCTGAACTGGACATCGAAGGTGGCATGAAGAACAAATCAAAGCGGGCACAAACTAGCAGCTGAGACATCTAAGAGATACGTATATGGATTTTAATGATCGTTTATATTGTTTTTAGGGCGAAATTGTTAAAGTAAGTAGAACTGTGAATTAAATCTTTGTATGTTGTTTTTACTTGAAAAGATCGCGTATATCGCTATCAAAAATCATCGTTAGCGTTTCTTGCACAACAATTTTTATGATTTTACCCTTATTAATGTTAAATCATTGTCTGATGAGTTTTTTTTGTTCGATTTCTCCTCATTCAAAGGCAAACACACGAATATTGTGAGGCCCTGAATTTTGATGAAATATGCAAGAGTCGTTCAGTCACATGAACAGTTTATGTCAACACATGGAAGAAAGTGAATTGCCCAAACTTTTTATGATCTTTTTCTCAACTTAAGTGATGGCTTTAACTACTCATGCAAAAGTTATAAAGATAAGCGGTTGCTCATCAGAGATATTTGGGAATAAAATACCCTAATTTTACGCCTTACTCAAAACTTGGAAATGATGACCCAACTTAAGGGGGCTAAGAGGGGAAATCGAATCGGCGACTTTAAACAGTTTATTGTGCTTAAAGTCTTATGATGTCAGATTATCTCTCAGTGCATTTAAGTTCCAGGTGGCTTTTATGTTTGTTGCACTGGCATCGTAAAGTTAGCTAATTAATTATGCATAAACGGGCAAAATGGCGATTTTTACAGGGGGAGCCCGGATCTCCCAGGGAATTTAATATTTTGACCTGACATTCTGTCACATAAGCTAACTCCTGATACCTAACATTTGTGCCAAGTTTGAGCGAAATCGGTGATTTGAGCATTATCACCTCCTGCCTGGTTCTGCCTGGTTTTCTCATGGACACACTCTTAATTATTATTTATAAAAGCAAAAAAGGTTGTCCTCTTGAACAATTTCTTTCGGCAAAATCAGGCGTCTTAGGTTAGAAAAATCAAGAGAGTTTGTGGAGTCATAAGCGACGAAGCTGAGCCAGGGGCCCTACATGTGACTGAGTACCCTCGGTAAAGGACCCCAACACCGAGACCCAGGGATAAATAAGACTAAGGAAAGGCGCGGAAAGGGAAGGTCAGAAAGGTCGATTCGAAATAGACTGCTTCTTAGTTACCATCAAGAGTCAGATGAAGTAATAAAACTGATATAAATGGACGTGTAGTTGGTGTAGCTAGTGGTCTGTTCTCTCGCGTAAATGAGCGGTGAAGCCGTGAGCAAAGCGCGGGCAAACGAGCGGCAAAAGAGGTATCCCGGCCGCATTCTCTTCCTGGCTTCACCCGCTCAGTTACCCACTCGAAAAACAAAACTGCCAGCAACGCAGACTAAACCTGAACAGAAAAGGCCGATCTGTTTGCTCCTTTAGCGCTGGAATTACAAACTTTTTGTTCAGATGCTATGAAAAGTTGTAACTCCGGGCGAGAAGTGGTAACAACTGCCCTAACAGTGTTGATAGACGTGGGACGGACAAACATCTGAGCATCAGGAAGGAATAAAGGTAGAAAAAAATAACCGTGAAATGAACGTTTGGGTTAGTTCAGGATACAGGCTCCGAGAAAAATTTGAACTATGCAAACTGCGTTGTATTTTCCCAAAATTGACTACGCGGTGACCATGCAATCAGCTAACTGAATAAACAACCGACCCAGGAATTTCTCTTAATATTTATTGCGAGTGCCTTATTTTCAGTTAACACTAAACCTACGAGTAGAACATCCTTTAGTCTTCTTCTTCTTGATCGTCAAAATCAAGCAAATAAGAAAGACTCTGTTGGCAGCTTAATTGTTTTATAGAATCCTGCCAGGGAATGGGCTGAACCTACTCCTTCACTCTAGTGCTTTTTAAATATAAAAGAATTGGAATTTCTGAACTTTTTTCCTTTACCGATTAAAAATTGATAAAAACGAGTACACACTTAAAGTACAATTGAGGGTAAAATGTTACCCAACAATCTAGAGTATAAAATTCTAATTACACATTGTCGCAACACGTACAATACGAGCTCGGAAAGAATCTATTAAAACCGGCATATCAGAACACAGTGCAAAAACTGAAATCACTGAAAGGTTACGTTGGCCGTTACATAGTTCTTGGTTTGCGTTAAACCGTACAAATGAATTTTGGCTATATAATTCGTTATATAATGAAAGGATTCCATACTGTAGAGGGAACAAGACATAGACTTTACAGCCATATGTCAGAGGAACAGTCTCCTCCCGGATATCGCACTTCATGTGCAAGGGCGGGTCCATCGGGTTCCTCTCCAAAATCAACGCAGAAATCAGGATTCAACTTGAGACCACCATTCACTGTATCAACGTCCACTTGAAGCAACACGCTACCTTTCCTGCGAAGAAAAGCGCACGAGAGAAAAATGCAGTCAATCATCTCCACATCTGTCAACTTGGAGAGAGAAGTAAGAGGCCGTTCTGGAATGATGGCCGTTGAATGACTGGTTTATGAGGAAGTAGAAGCTTAATCTGACACCAATTCTAGAATGGCAGGGTATTTTTAAGAAAATACGAAATACTCAAGGCGTTGACAATAGGAAAGTCACCATAGGGTTAATAAGTTAGCACAAAGACTCCCCACACGACTTTCAGTTAAACTTTTTAGTACATTTCTTTGCCGTTACTGCACGACTTCGACATAGATCGCCTTTTATAATTTATGGAGGACGTGAGTAAACGACAACGAATTTTTCTCTGTCTTTCTGAACTTGAATAGTCAGGAATTCAGCTCCAAGAGAGTTCAACTACATTTGACAAGGTAAGCAAGTTGGAAAAATCGCGATGTATTTTGAAATTAACGAACGCCGCGTTTTCCCATCCTTCTAAGTCGTTGTCATGTGATTAGGTCCGCAGTCCATAAAACCAGACTTCCGAGGAAGTAAATAATTCAGTCATTTTTTTATCTTTTCTTATCAATGAAAATGCCGACTGCCTTACTTGGAGAGGCTGGGATAAAACTGGTTGTCCCATACACTGTACAGCGATGTTGTAAAGTATAATCGCTTTCCGTCCAGACTGAGCTGCAACATCTGTGGCCCACCCTCGACTCTCGTTCCCTTCACATAGCACGGGTCAGGCTGTTCACTTAATTCACTATCCTCTATCACTTTCACTGAGCCATCTTTGGTTATACTACCACCAACGAAGACCTAAGACAGAAAAAGATCACATGTTAATGATTATAATGATCATAAACGAATTTGATTTGTCTCCTATGTTTCAAAAAAATTACGCGCGCGATCAGCTGGTTTTAGGTAGTTTCAGAAAAAAGCGTTTGATGGCAGGAAAGGAATAACCTAACAGGTGTTAAACATGAAAACGCCGGAGGAAGGGGGGCGGGGTCCTAGTAATGGCCTAATGGGATGAGCAGCTGGATGGGGTCCCATTTTCACGACTGGGTTGACTATAACGACCTATAGCAAGGTTGCGTTTTCAACAGAGTTATTACTAGATTTCCTCAAAGTTCTTCGCTTCTCATTTCCGGTTCCGGTAACATAAAAAACTACCACTCGCGCTTAGCGCTCGTGAAAAAAATTTGAGCTCGACTTGTAGGCAAGTCTCAGTTACTACGAGAACGGGTTCTTTAATTTTCGGGATCATTCGGGGAAGAAAATTTCGGTTAGTGTGTACGTGGGGATTTAATACTAGGCAGATTCACGGTTAAAAAGTTGTTACCTTATTTTGAGCTTTTGGTTTGATATTTGACAACCGGCTGGCAAAACATTCCGTTCTTGAGTTACTAAGTTGTGATTGCCAAATTACATTTGCTCAAAAGTGACTAAGATGTATAGCTGCGTAAACAGAGGTAATTTAACCAGAGTCAAAAAGATGGACAAATAGTTCTGATAGTTCCCCCCAAACAAAAAGCAAAAAGCTATGGTCAAGAAATTCAGTGTTAAACGAGAAATTCAAGCATACAACGCAAATGTTTTTTACTGTAATATATTGAATTTTAGAAAATAACTAAGATAGTACGCGCGTTCTGATTGGTTAAAAACCTATGGTTTATTGTGCCAGTAAGCTCATAGGAAGCTTTAAGCTTTTCGAGTGTTCTCCGGACATCCCGAGTGGGTTATCACGCCGGTAAACCCATAGAAACTGTGATCTATTGCTTAAATATTTCATCATTTGTAGAATATACATGTCTAGCCCTTTCGTAATTAATATGTACCGGTAGTTATAATGTGTCTTTCCTGTGTTTCTCTACTTGAATATAGTCTCGAGCCTTTATGAAAGCAGTTTAAAGAGTGACCGACCTACCTGGCCAACCAGTTTGGGATTCTTGGTGTCTGTTATGTCATACTGTCTGAGGTCTCCATGAAGCCAATTACCGAAATACAAATATTTGTCGTCCAGAGAGATAAGAATATCTGTTATCAGACCTGCAGAAAAACGCACAAAAAAACCGTCATCGCAAGTCTTTGAGTTAGGAGTGACTCTATTAAAAAAAAAAAAGGAAGACGAACCCCCCCAGGTGTTCAACTGAATGGCATTTTGGCTCAGATGAAAGGGGGCTATGATATTGCTGTTTTTAGGTCAATTTTGTGTTTAAGTCAATACTGACTGCCTTTATACCTGTACAAAAAAAAACTCCTGTAGATTTATGACGAAGATATCAAATCACTTTCACCATGCAGGAAGTACTAACCATTATATTTATTTCTAGTGATTTTTGGGATCATTCTCAGCAGCTGGGCACAGAACCTTATAAACAACAGTAACAGAATATAATATACAGCACCTTATATGTTTCAATTCACGAAATAAGGTCCTGTGCCCGGCTGCTGAGAATGATCCAACTTTTAAGTTTTTAAGATGGAGATTTTTTTTCTGTCACCTTGACATTCAGTCAATTTAAGTTCATCGGAAATTCATTTCTTTTTGCAGAAGATTAAAAGATTTTAATATAAATGCACACGGCGGGGTTAACATCCCACGCACACATCACAAACAATTCATAATAAAAAGTTATATAAATCATTCTTTTCTATAATCATGGCAATCGTATAGATCACTTGATATGCGGAACGATTTCGTCGTTAATTTAATTATGTATTAAAATTTGGTTGTGAAGGCTTTCACACAAAACATGTGTCGGCGATTCCAAGCCAGTTGCCACGACATTAGTTCAGATGTTCGAAAAATGATTTGAAATCATTTTTAGATCGCGATTGGTTCGTTGTTCCAACCAGGGCGTAAAAAGCTACCCTAGCTTCTTACGCCCTGGTTTCAACCAATAAACACATTATCCGGTTTTCGACAAGGGATCAGTTTTAGGCCTGAAAAATCCAAACGGTCTGAGATAGAATGTACTCTACCTCTCAGCAACTAATAAAGCGAATTCTCTATAACGTAAAAACGGTGTAGCTGTATCAGGGGCACCCAACAACAATTTTAGGAAAATATCTGTTCGGAAGACGATTTGAGATCTACAATTTTCGGAACATTTTTTGTAAAATTTCTTGCTTGCTTGACTCTCCTAGGATTTTCGAACATCTAAATAATGGTATAATTGCCTATTTTTAACGGATTTTTACCCTAAAAAGGTCACCTAGAATTTTCGGGAGCCTTTTTTCTGGCTGAAATTTTCGAAAAGGTAAGTTTTGATCGCTATAATTTTCGGATCACTAGACTTCAGAGCTAGGAAATCTGAACAGATCAAAAATTTTTAGGGGATGAAAATATGCTTATATCTACCGTTTAAATACTAAAATACGTTTAACAATGCTATGTTTAAGTGGTTTGAACCATATTCTCGTTGGGTGCCCCTGCTGTATATTGGATCGTCAACGATCGACCTCAACGATGTGACTACCGGATGTCGTTGCAAATTTCCTGTTTGCATTTGTTGAAGGCATTCATATTACTACAGTCTCCCGGTTCAAACGTTATGGGCTTTACAAGCCTTATAATTGAAAAATTACCTTAAAGTCACGGCAAATCATTTTGGGCACTAAATATGAACTTTTGTTGAAAAACGAAAGACTCTTCGCAACTCATCTTTCCTCGGACTAAATTTGATTTGCAATTTAATACAACGATAATTGTTTTGATACATAGATTTTTAATGATATTACTGTTTTTTTAACCAAACAGTTCTATCGGCAAACAGTTTGACAAACGAAGCGATGCGTTCATATACTGCACGGCGAACGTCAAAACTTTATATGATTATAATTGAAAGGAAAATAGTAATTATAACCCTAACCCTAACTCTGTCAACAACAACAGTCCTATTCAGGACTACGTTCACCCGGACGATCAAACTCAACCTACTTTTGAAACGACTCGTGGGTTCAAACCTTTCACAGTAATTATAATGTTTTTTCTTTTGTCGCTCGGCATTGCTTAAAGTTTTTTTTTTTTGACGATCGTGGGGCCAATTTATTGCGGCTAGCAAAAACTTTAAAACACTAAAAACGATAAAAAGCTAGGATACAAAATTATGAGAATCGAACTTTAAGTCCAACCCTTAGCCTAAGTAATAATAATAATAATAATAATAATAATAATAACGGTTTAATATCAGTACATCCATGGTATGGCTCTTCGCCTGATATAAGATTAAAATAAGGAAATTAAAAGGAAAAAAATACATAAATCTGAATTATGAATCTGTAAAAAAAAAGCTAGGTAATAAAAAGTAAAAATAATGAATACAAGACAAGACAAGACTAGCGAGTCGGAGTCGGAGTCAGAAGAATCAGAACGTTTCCATTTTCTTGCGACTCCGCTTACGACTCCGTCGCTTTTGTTCCGCTTATAATGTAGTGAAAACCAGATTGTTGGAGTCGGAAGCACGTTCCCACGCTTTGTCATCGGCTTAGTTCTTCCGCTTCTGCTTCCGACTCCGACAATCTGGTTTTCACTAGATCATAAGCGGAACGTAAGCGACGGAGTCGTAAGCGGAATCGGAACGCTATTTTCACCAGATCATAAGCTCTACGCTTCTGATTACGACTCCGACTCCGTCGCTAGTGAAAACCAGTTTGCAGAGTAGAGGACCCGATACATCAACTTATTGGAACAGAATTTATTGCATGCGATTTCTAAGTTAAGACAAGTGTTGTGACAAGTTGTTACTGAAAAACTCAGTTAAAACCCGCGTCAACCCAAAAAGTGGTCGAAGTGGGGCTGTTACTGGGAAGCTTTGGTGGATTATTAGTCCTGGAGAGGTAACCAAACATGGCAGTTTTGTTGCCCTTAAGATTTTGCTTTTATCCTAACGACATACAAAATGTTTTTGTTCAGTTTCAATAAAAAATTAATGGTTTAATCTTTAAGCCTGACAAATCAGCATGCAAAGCTTGTACATTCGAAACTATATCAAAATCCTGGCATACAGAATTTTGATGATCAACAAAAGATCAAACATGTAAAAAGCCGTGGGAGTAACGAGATAATATTCCGACGTTTCGGCGACATCATGAAGCCATTATAAACGTTGAAAGGCGGTCTTAATTTTTCATGCAAAGCTTTTCATTAACGAGGCAGTCAAATTGTCAATTTGTTCTAACTTGCATTTTTTCAGGGACGGCACCAGCGTGGTGTTTATCATATTTGCGCACGGAAGAAGATATTACTTTTGTGGCCATCAACTCTGTCAACTGTAACACCGATAAATGTAATAACAACCATAAATGTAATAAAAGTCAAAGATAAATGTAACACCCACCATAAATGTAATAAAAATCAACCATAAATGTAACAGAGTACTAACCATAAATGTAATCAAAAATTTTAACCATAAATGTACTAAGTATAGAAACTCGTCTGAAAGCGAGTTCGTTTCGTTATTTATGGGGCCAAATGATGTCTAAGAGGTTCTTAAACGATTTCAAGAGCCATTTTGTATGATTAACAAAAACTTTTTCCGGCTGTCAGCCTCTACACCTTTAAGCCTTGCGATCACCTGTGCGTTCCGCTTTCTAGACACCGAAAATTTTTATCATGTATAACCAAATAGATTTGCGAACAAATTTTATATACATTAGCGTACTTTATTTTTCCGCTTCTTCGCTGCGCGAACACTAGAAACATAGTTGAGCGTGTCCTTTTGCTGTGTTGGACTATTGCTACAGGCATTTTTCTTTTCATCATCTGGTCCAGTTTCATCCTGTTGAACGCGTTGCGCAAGAACTATGCACATATCAAACGACTTCCTAACGCCGGGCAAGCAATTCCGAAAGACAGTCAACAGCTAAGTTTAATTTCCCGCCTCATAAAATGACGTCAAGTCTTTTTCAAAAGTAATGTATCAGCACCAGAGTGATGCCGTTCCCAGCTAACAGGACACTGAGGTTTGCAGTTGTTCCCCTCTGGCAAATAACACATTTTAACCAGTCAGTAGCTTGAGGCAGGTGACCTGTTTCCTGCGTCTTCAAATTACCCCATTTCTTACTTCCTCTTTTAAACCGACAGTTTTCTCTCTTCTATAACTAGAATAGTTTCTTTTCTAGCTTCTCCGAGACGCATGCACATCAGTTGAGATAATGAAAACTTTTACCATCCGAACCAAGAAAAAAAAAGAAAAAGCATGTGCAGATAAATTCCAAATTACGACCTGCATTTGCAAAGGCGTGGTTCTTTCGGAGAACAGAAAGGAAGACACAAAATTCTCGTTTAGCAGTAATCCTTCCCGCCTCGTGACATACAACTTCTCGCTTATCGTGCAATAATATCACGTGACTGTGGGGGTCAGCTAAGTACTTTCCTACACATTTGTATAATGAAGAAAGGAAAATAGTAATTCGCATCCCAATTTGTTGTATTGTTGTATTGTTGTCAGTGTTGTACCTTTATTTTTAGGTAAAACAAGCATTAAATCTGAAAAAAGAGCAAGAAAAAGTATCTCGCGGGGGGTCTCGGGTCTTAAAATTTCATTTACAGCTAACTGGCTGGAATTAGAAAATTTAACTTGGCACTATATCAGGAATGACCAGCCTGTGAATGTAAAGTATTCCTACAAAGTTTGGTACTCGTATCAAAAATTGCATAATTCTCTAGCTAAGCCGCCGGACTACTGGGGCACAGTGTGTGATACATTAGTTAAAAGTTAATTTTCAAATAAATTATGCGTTTTGCTTGTTCCAGTTTGCCTTTAAAGTTAATTTTAAATACACTTTTTGCTTGTTCGTGATTATCTAGAATTTTTTTGGAAATTTCAGATTGTTTGAAAGCTTTAGAAGTTTAGAACGCTTGGATCACGAAATATAATGCCCACTGAGTTGAATATGACACTGTCTGACCAAAATCGCGAGATTAAGTAATTAGTAACACATGAAAAGCGGATTGGTTGTATAAACAGGAAGCTTGAAGAAACAAAAATTTACTTTCTGACATTTGTTAAAACATCATTTGGCAACCTTTTGACCATCATATTTAAGCCAGCTTCATTTGATGATAACAAATGATCAAAATCTATTACATTTTTACATTTATGGTTAAAATTTTATTAAATTTATGGTTAGTAATTTATTACATTTATGTTTGATTTTTATTGCATTTGTGGTGGGTGTATTACATTTATAGGCGGAAATTTTAAATGCCGGTTTTTAGATTTATGATTGGTGTCGCTCGCTTTAAAGTAGGCTTTTTATATCGTTGCGAAATAGTATAAATTCTGGGGGGTTTTCTTTTTTTATGCAGAGAAGAGCTGCAACACGTCGAAAAACGCTGAAAGGTGTCGTTTGTTCCAAAGACGCATCGGTAAGATATGTCTTGTTGCTGTTCTTCCAAACAAATTTTTAATGCTAATGGTCTCTCTTATAGTATAATTTTGAAATGCAGGTAAGGACTGTAAGGTGCGAAAGTTCTATTACAGAGAGGTCTGTACTAACTGAGGACACCCACCGAGATCTACCTATTGTCTCAAATGAGGTGACCGCTTAAAGGGGCTGTGTCACGGCAGTCAAGTTCATTTTGTTTAATTTTGCCAATCACTCGCCCTCAATCGCTATGGAACTTAAAGTAAGCAAAGAAATTACATGTAAATGACAAAATGAGAGATCCGAGACAAACAAATGTGTCTCCTGAGCATTATTTTTGAAGTTGCAAGCAGCAGGGATCAACTTTGAAAAACTGGTAGGCTGAACAGTTTTCAAAAACCCTAATTTCAATCCGTTTTAATTTTCTTCAGTTTTGCCCATCCGTGGCATCTGTTGTTTCTGTTATGCTATTTTAACCTTCCTTTAAAGTTTTAAGCGGTTATTTTTATGTTTCTCTTAATTTAACGGGCATTTTGTAATTTCCTAATTTGGCTGAATTTCGTGACACAGCTCCGTCAATTAATGCTGGTTTGTTTTACAGAAAATATGGGATGGCAAGTTGAAGAACCTATGTCTTCTTAATACAGTGTGTCGGCTTTTTATTAGCCTGCGATCGAGAGCATCCGGTTTTTTCGGCTCTAGCAGGCTAACTTTTTATGAGGTTGGCTTGATATAGGCCTCACTGTAACTGAAGGACAATTACATTTTCGAGACATTATGAAACAAGCTTTTTCATTTTCCAAATAGTCCGAAAAGAGACCAGGCTTTCGATCCGGTTGCAAAGCAGTGAATTTCTCCCAGCGTAGCCAATCGAACGAAACCGAACCAAAAATCAATCGAACCCAATCGGGCGGATTGTTGTTCGATTGGTTCGGTAATCGAACATGATCAAACTGGAACTTTTCGGTAGTTCGATTAATCGATTAATTGATTAATCGAGTTCGATTACCGAACTCAATCGACGCGATTAGTTCGATTTTGTTCGGCGGAAAGACAAAACGCATTCAGTTTCAATTGAATCGGAAACATCTTCCTCAAGTATGTATGTGAAGCAGTTTGAGGCCGGGATTTTTTTGCATTCAGCTTTCAAACTATATAACGGCAAAAATCGAACGGGGAGAAAAAGAACTTTTAAGACCTAATAGACTTCGGGGACTAAAAAGAAATAGCAAGGCATCCACATTCCCTCATTGACCAAAAGACAAAAATTGATATTTTCAAAAAATAAATGATTTCTTTCCGGAAATAGCTATTTTAAACCGATCAGAAGCAGCACGAGGGGAATGACGTACGCTGGCCTCAGCCAAGTGCATACGTCAACGGCGCTTGGTTTCAGCACATGAACGTCTATAAAATCCCATTAATATATGAGGCAAATTCAGGCTGTCGAAGCCGCAACTTCCCCTTTCGCGAACGGTCGCTGCCATTTTTAAGTCACTTAGAAAATTTATGACCTGTTATTGACAGTGTTTCCATTAAAAAGAAAAAAAGGACCGAAACCAGATTGCGTGACAAAGAACTTTGAGACCCAGGTTATGCCGCGGAGACAGTAGCCTGCCACGGAGGCGTTTTTAGGGGAGGGATGAAAAACGAGCCCCCCTAAAAACGCCTGCGTGGGAGGCTACGGAGACAGATACCACTCTGAAGAAGACACTCACGCGGCGGATTCGGGTCTGTTGTCAAATAAACGTGAGGTAGGTCAAAACGTTTTCCTTTTTTATAGCTATAACGATTTGCTTCATGAGAAATGAGAGCATTTTAAAGAACAGCTACCGACACTAAAGCCGTTTTGTACATATATGATAACTGTTACGTAATACGGCAAAAGTAAACAAATACGCACGTAAGGGAAGTGTTGTAGTCAAGAAGTTCATAGCACACTTTCGTACAATAAAATTGCTTTTCCGTTTGAAAATTGACCACTGTGAAATCTAAAATCGTTTTTGGTGTTTAACCTGGCGGAAAAGGGGCGAATTTGCACCAGAGTTTCAAGTACTGTCTAAGTTCTCTCTTGAATTCATCAATACAACTGCAAGTTCAGAGGTCGTAAACCACGCGAATACCAAGACAAGATAAGACAAGACAAGGATGGTTGTCTTTACACTAAGCTGTTCAGTAAGTTAAGAGCTGCTAAGTTTTACTTAACTAAAAAATACGTGTGAAGGCCTAAGTAAAATCTCAAGTAACTTTACTTTGCATCTCATTAAAGTGGGAAAGTTGAAACGACTCAAGAAAGTTTCAAGTGACTTGAAAACCATCCTTAAAACCGACTTAGCGAACTTGCGGTTTCTAAGCTTTGAGAAAGGCGAAGCGTGTCAGTCAATCTTAATTATGTTGCGTGGCAAAGTAAGCTTAAGTAAACCTGAAGTAAAAAAGATAGGTTGTGTGTGAAGCTTTATTTTACTTGAAGAATTTAAAATTTACTTGTCTTGAAATATTTCTTAGCTTATTTAGGCTCTGTGAGAGGTTTGAACCCAGGAGGCTATAGGCTCTAGTGTAAAGACTACCATTTATTATCATAATATTACAAGTACAATTTTTTCGCACGCCGTTAGCAAGAAAACGCTAGTCGAGGCGTGCCAATTTAATTCTATTACAAATCAGATACTACATATAATAAGTAAAAAGCAAAAAAAAAGAAGAGAAGAAATATGTGTAATGAATTCAAAAGCAAGAAAGACAAATCTGTTTAATGTAACCTGTGAAAGAGGCTAAGGTTTAGGATTTCGCGATTTTATTTCTCGTGTTATCATGGATGCATCAAGGTAATCATCTTTGGTCTTTAGTATTTCGAAGAGCACACTGATTAATTTTCGTTTGAACACTTTTTTTGACATATCTCTCATTCTCTCATTCCATACTTTAGCGCCAAAAATGGGGCCGGCTTGTCTTAGTTTTTCAAGATTAAATTTTTTTAAGTACATATTATTTTTAGAGGATGATCTTGTGTTACATTCGTGAATAGATGATGTCTGCGAGAACAAGTTAACGATTTTTGAGGGTGCAGAATTAGTATGAATATCACGCATTAGGTAAGATACGGACGTAAAATAGAGAAAGCTAATTGGCAGGCCTATATGTTTGCATCAAAAAAGAGCAATGGCATGAACTTTCCTGTTGGTAAAAAAATATGAAACGGATAACTTTTTTCTGAAGCAAGAAGATTTTTGTCAAATGTGTTTTTGACGCCTGGCCCTAGTTTAACGCACGGTAAATATTTAGCAAGGTATGTTGAGGAAAAAAGTGCCTCAATTTAGCGATTAAACCAACCGTTTTACTTAATTTAGTAGCTACATTGTCAATGTGTATTTTCCACGAAAGATTTTTGTCAATCAGAATGCCTGAATATTTAACATAATTTTTCATTTCTAAACTAACGTATTGATTGGTATCAGTATCGAAGATCTTAAGTTGGGGAAGGTAGTCAACAGACTTCTGGTAAGGATGAAAAATAACAAAATAACAAAATTATTTTGTAAATGTTTTCAGTTGTAAATACTCGCAGGTTCAATTGCCCCAGAATTTTATTTCACAGATTGATAGGGGAAGCATTGCTCTTTCTCTGGAATACCATTTTTCTAATGAAAGCCAGATACCAGGAAGAGATTTTCGCCGTTGAAAAATGGCAAAATTGATGGTCTCGATAATGCTGATTTAGAGGGTAATTTTGAAAAAATATCAAAAAATCAGATTGAAAACTTTTGAAATTGTAACAACGTTTAGGTAGAAAGGAAGGATCATAAAATTGTTTAATATAAGAAAAGTCATGGTATTAGTTTCCGTTTCCATTCACGAAGCGAGGGTATCAAGCACATTTTTCGGTGGTTTGAAGGCCTCTCGAAGGTGAAAATTAAAAAAAATTATTATTTTGGAAAATATTAAGTCAAAGGAACTGAGTCTTGTATTTTCTAAAATAGTTTCCAAAGGGCTTTGTTGTGACAAAGTTTGGGGGATTTCGATTTTTTCGCCTTGCACACCTATCCGTGGTATTTACAGAAAGTCGCTCTTAAGTCCGGAGTTTTATTTTGGAAAAGGGATTTCAAAAGCTCTTGATCTGCATACTGGCCAAGCTTACGACCAGATAAAAACCATAAGCTGTCAAGACATGTCCTTCCTCTGAAACAGCTGAATCTTTTTCAGCGTTAGTTGACATCATGACAAACACACACAGTACACCACAAACTGTGCTAATTTACACCCAACACCCACCAGTGACCCACTGGCGAAAGTTAAACTTGCCTTTTGTACATCGTCTTAATCATCAATATTATTACCCTAAAATCTCCACTGGGTTTGCCCCAAAAAATAATTAAACGAAACCTTTTATTCGTTTTCGGGATTTAATTACAGAATTACAGGTGTATGCCCAATACAGTGTTAAAATGCGGTAAAGCAACAAGATTCAATGCTCACAGTCTCTCAAAAATACCTGTCATTTAGCTTCCCCTTTCAACGCTATAGCTAAGCGAACTTTGAGAGGAATGATACGGGGTTTCGCTAGCTCTGAAGAGATGAAAATACGCACAATGTAAAGTATAATGCATCCTTTGATGAAACTCCTATTGCTGTTTCTAAACTCCTCAATCTTGCTGTACACTGGCCCTCAAAAGAGTGACCGATCGGTATGATTGCCCGTAAAATTTGCTCGACGATAGATAGTCTGCTACACAGCCGTTTTTAGTGTCGTCACGCAACGCTAGCTTGTTGGATGCGAGATGATTATAGCCAACTTGGCGCTACGCGCCTCGTTGGCTATCTCCCATCTCATATCCAACGCGCACTCGTGGAATAATTGTTAAATATTAGTGAAAAACTCAAAAAGACTATCATTTTGTATTTCTTTTTCAGCTGAGTTTTAAATTCATTCTTCTCAACAGAACACCTGGTAAACTAGAAGAACAATACGCTCGATGGATTCCAAACGACTCTTGACGATCACTATTTTGTTGTTGATTGTTTGCTGTGATCTTTTGGACCTAACTCGGGGATTTGTGCTACCCAAAAAAAAAAGACCAGGAAAACCGACGAAAAAAACCCCTAAACAGCCGAAGCAAAAGGCACCAGAATGGATGATAATGATATTGGTAAGTTTGAACTAATGTGCTAACCTAAATGTAGGGCACAAAGCTTAAAGATAGCGACTTCGCCTTGAGGTCTAACCGCGTACCCTTTGAGATATAATCTTCACAGGAAAGGAACCCTTTTGCTTTGATATGATTTAGACTGCTGCAAATGCACTGCGTTTTAAATACGAATAAATCACTAATCCAGGAAGTTTTCTTGATCATGCATTTTCGCAGCCACATAATGCGTCCGTTAGCCTTTTTTGTTCCCTTTACGTAAGGGAAAAGACATGTTTGCCTTCCCTTCCATAAACTTCAACTGGTGAAATTAGGGCTTTCCACAAGTTGCTCGGCAACACTTTTGCAACTTCTTGTATTTCGAGCAAATTTTTTCGTTTCGAGCAACTTCTTGTATTCTGAGCAATTTCTCTACTGTGAGATATTGGAGCAGGTTTTAGCATTTAAATTGGCCTTGCTTCGATATTTTAGTATTTTTTGGTAGACAATTTATGAATTTCCTGTGAAAAAGGAACCAGTCCCTCCCCCCCTGGGGCAGATTGTCGGTTGCAAGATGTATGCAGCCGGGCTGCTGGGTTAGAGGTTTTTTAAAGAAAATTCAAAATAGGGGACGAAATTTCACAGTCGACTGACTCTAGTGTCCCAGATGAGGGTTCATTCAACAACTTTATTGGCCCATACGCCACTTGTACATCTCCCACAGTGCACCTTAATTGCCCCCCTCCCCCTCCCCCCAATATTTTGCATAAGCATTGCTTTCAATTTCTCTTGGGACGGCTGTAATACCCAGGAGAAATAAAAAACAAAGGTTATGCAAAATTTGGGGGGGGGGGGCGCAGATAAGGTCCATTATGGGAGATGTGCAAGTGACGTGTACTAGGATTTTTTCAAGATTAATATTTTTCAGATAAATATCAGTATCGATGCGTAGTCTTTACTCATACAGTTTTTGGTTTTAAGTGAGGACAAAGTTATTTAGCAACGCTGGTTTCTCCGCAAAATTGCACAAAAATGCTCAGAGACCTCACTTTTGTTGTACAATTTGCATATTGTCATGAAAGATAATAATCATCGTGGGTAATGTGTATAAAGGGTTTAGTTTTATCGTTTGTCTCACGGTTGTCACTTTGATGTTGATCGCGACATTTCGACCGCACACTGCAGGTCTTCATCAGGCGATAGTGTCGATTTACTGAGTCGAACTATTTGCACCACCGTGGTTGTTAGTGACTGGTCTATCACAAACGTCGCTCGTGGTTGGTGGGTTTCGATCCAAAGCATTGTCGGCATTGTGAGAGGAAGAAACTGATCCCTCGGCGGTCTGCTGTGGTAGAGGTCGGTTGTCATATTGTCTGATTGTAGGCATCCACGCGATAGGGACATACGGCTTTCACGAACTCAAACTTCAGCCGTTTCTGAACACGCCAATAAGACCGGTCATTATCCGCTCTGGGACGAAGTTAAGTTCATTGACCGAGACCCTTACTGGTACTGTCGAAGAGTTAAGGAGGCTATCCACATAAGACTTCACCCTAACAACCTCAACAGGGACTAAGATGCAAGGACGCGATGGTAGCAAAAAGCTCGCTAAAAAAAGTCAATTTGCGCTCTCTTGGTCTTCATCGCGATTATTCCTACTCACTTACTTTGTCAAACATAGGCGAACCCTC